GGGGGGGGGGGGGGCCTCGTGGCAATTCGAAAAAGAGCAGAACGAAAATAATAAAAATGTCGGAGCACCGGCAGAGGGCCGCTAGAGCCAAAGGCAATTTCCTAATTATGACACGGTAAGCGGCCTTTCTCGATGACGTACCTCTTTATCCCACGATCAAGCCTCATAATCGCAAGGGAATGGGACGTCGGGACGCTCTCACTAATGAGATCAAGTACAAAGGGCCTGGCGGCGTCACGAAAGATTTTACTTTTCTTTTTTTACGTCCAAATATATTTTCCTTGTTCGTTTTAACTGCTGGCAACTTTGCCAAAGCAGTGGGGACTCCCCTTTGTTCCCTTGGAGGATACCCGATTAAATAGTAAAATGATAACCACAGTGTAACAATTATAAGATGAAGAATGAAATGTTTCTAAGGAATAACATAGATATACGGAGACAATTGAGTATAGCGCAAGGCGTATCCGGCAGCAAGGACTAACAGCCTTTAATTAGTAAAGTTCCTGGCGCTCTATATCCATCTATTCATCTAGCTCGTATACAACGCAGCAGCCATTACTCTGTACCAAAGGATGCTTGGATGCTTTTGAATTGAGCTACCAGTGGATAGCAGTGCCGCTGCTTGGATTCACTTTGCAGAAACAACTGGATCCGAAGGTTTCTTGCCAATCCGAAGGAATCCCGTTAGAATTGTCTCGGGTGCCGCGGTAATTGATAAGGCGAGAATCCGGGCGTGAGAGAAACGGAGAGTGGTCGAGGATGTGGCGCCACGATGATCTTACAGAGTCACAGGCAAGCACATACAGAGACGTGCCAGACTCACGAAATTAAGCTATGTTCTCGCTGCCAACACTCGAGCGTGCCCTATGTTTACTATGTTCTATGAGGTATATGTTGGGGAGTTATTGCTCGCTAAAGAAAATTGACTTGAATCCACGCCAGGATAATAAAACCATTAGAGAGATCCTCACGCAGACGGGACTCTGGATTATGGGAGCATATGATATCCTTGTTACTGGTGCCGATGAGGATGACACTGGCAGTGTTCACGAAGATACTCGCAATCCTGATACTGCTGACGGTCCTGATGGTGCTGATGACGGCGCTTGTTAGGACGATGTCGAAAAAAAAAAAAAAAAAAAAGAATGAGATTTTGACGGGACGCAGAATTATAGAATACAGTGCTTAAGTTTGTTCAATTCGAAAAGTCCAGGTCGTGATTAAAAACTTTGTATGTTTGGCCCAAGGAATGGGAGATCTTTTTAAATCATGTAGTATGCGAGAGACGTATATATGTGACACTTTACCTTGTTTGGTGTTGTAGCCTGCTGCTGCGGCGAACAGCTGGTGCTATGAACGATGGGCTGCGTGGTGGCTGGTATTCCCTGATGATTCAGGTGATTCAGCTGGTTGATCTGGTTCAGCTGGTTAAGCTGATTAAGCTGGCTGAGCTGGTTGATTTGCGGCTGCTGGCCAGGATTCTGAGACGTGGAGAGTTGCTGGTGATGCGTCTGATGCGGGTGGGATGTCTGATGCGTCGCAGGGAAGGTGGGCACCGTGAACGGGACGAACAGCATCGGGCTGCCGAGGATGTGCGCACCACCTCCACCCACTGCGCCCGTCTCCTCCCTACACCTTTTTTTTTGAAAATTTCCGGCAATATTATTCGCGCGCTCGTCTTCTGTGCTCGTCGTGCGAGCGACGTGCAGAGGGATGACGCAGAGGACGACAACGACGGGACAGCGACGCTGAACGACGGCAGCCGTCCGCCGCCGACGACTTAAGTACTCAGAGAGACCGGTGAGAGTAGAGTTAGTTACCTGCACTCCTGCCCCAGCCCCTGGTGCTGGGGGTGGGCGTAGGGGGCGGCTCGGACGGAGGTGGTGGACGCCACCCTCGCTACCCTCAGCGATAGGCCGCCCCGTTGGCTCGTAAGCTGTACCGCCGGGTTGTTATGACCGCAGCAACAGCCACGACAGCTCTGCGAGCCTTGGGGTCCTTGGAGTCCTTGAAGTCCTTGTATATGGGACGTGGGGCCCCTGGGCCCCGTGGATGAGCACGGGTACACCCCAACCAGGCAACCCACCACCGCAGCCCCGGGGCCCGGTGCGTTTGGAGTCAAACTGCCTGACGAGGCCACCCCAAAATCCGTTCTCCTCGTACACCCGCACAACTCGAGCCACCCACCGCCTCCTCCTCCTCCTCCTCCTCCTCCTCCCCCGCCTTCGGCGACCGCACTAACTCTCACAGAGTCAAGCAACGGCACCGACGACAATGACGAGGACGACGACAAAGAAGATGCTTCTTGTACGGTGAGACGCAATGGATGCTCCCGGCGACCCTGACCTTGACCCTCGACCCCGGTCTTCTTATGCACCCGCTCACCTGCGGACGGGATTGTGCCTCTCTCGTCGATCCGATTCACTTTAAACCTCCGGACGTTCCTCGATCAGTTCCACGAGCAGGCACTAGCTAGCTGACTGGGCGCCCTCTGGGTCCTTGGCGCAGCCCGAAGATTAACTGGACTGCTCTATATACAGATCCTTATAGACTCTTGACTCCGGATCTGTGTTTACCGTATTGCTGGTCAATATCCAGTGCCCAACTCAGCACTCGATCGGCTCAGCAGCTTAGCAGTAAATACGGCAGGTGTATGCGCTCCTTCGGGAGTTTCAAGGGTCTTCGAGAGCCTCGTGGCACTGGAGCCGCTTAAGAAGGCCGATTAACAGAGTGGATGAGTTTAGGAGTCTCTTGGCAAGATAGATCGAGGGTGAACACTCCAGGGGATGATCCTAGGAGGAGTTCCACGCTGTAGAGGAAGCCACGTGCTCCGCTTCCGCGTCTTCTATTCGACCGAAGCTTCTCTATAGTCCCTTCGACCAGAGATGCCGTCTTCTTCTTTCACTTTTGAATTGTCGACTTGCAGCTCGTCGTCGAGAATCCTAGTGAACCTCGTCGCCGTCTCATGAACTCTTCTAGCCTCTTTAACTCGTAGACTCTTGTTAAATATTAAAGCGCCAGCGAGCCCGGGTGCCTCCGACCGATGCTCAGGCTCAACAAGTACACAAGGACTGGGTGCAGTTGTTTGCCCTCTCTACCTGTGCAGAGACGTGGCGTCTCTCCTCCTGCTGCTCCTCTTCCTCTTCTCTCTCTCTCTCTCTCCTCTTCTTATTCTTCTTTCCACTCTTTCACTCACTTCTTTCACCACTACGGTCACCCAAATGTTATCTTACTCTTAGCCTTATTCTTCCTCACTTTTTACTCAATCCTTTTATATATCTCCTGACGCAGCCTCCTTCGGTGTATCGGTTTATCTTTCTTCCTTCCCTTTTATTCACTCAGTCTTTTTCTCTATATTTACATCAACGAATATCACTTCTTCACAAGACTTCGACAGTCCAGAACAGCGTCTGAAAAATTCCGACTACACTGCTCACAATTCTTCTGGAAGTTAAGAAAAAAATTCTCAGTGCACTCGAGCAATACGTGATTTGGTCCAGATTTGGGTTTTTCTATTCTTCGCGCAATTCCCACTTTCGATTTCTTTAAATGTCTCTCTTAATCCACTTTGATCCTCTCGGCACTCTGCGACACGTGACCTTCAACCGGAAGCAGCGTCTCTTCTTAAAGTCTCGTTTACCCGAAATGAAGGATATTCACAAGAAAAGTAGAGTGACACGTCAGATGCACTCTGCACAATAGCCACGTTAGACGAGTTATACACGTTAAGCACGTTAAACACTCTTCTGCAAGAACTAGGAAACGTGCGATGCGCGACTCTCCAGCTCGAGGAACTCACTAGAACCGAAGATCATTCCACGATTTTAGTGCACTACTGTCAAGAGCACATATCTTCAAGCTACCTTCACGAGATAAACTCACTTCCTCTTCCCGTTTATTCCATCCATTCCGTTTATCCGGTTCTCCTTGTTATCCACGTTCTGTCCAGTAGTACTAAAGGATCCCACAACCGTGACAACATACAACGTGCAAGACGCGAGGCTGTCAACCTGTAAATCTGTCAACCTGTCAATACGTCAGGATGTCAGGATGTCAGGATCTCAAGATGTAGGTACAATGTGAAACGATAACTGATTCCTTACTGCAAGATACAAGCGTTAAGAAGAAGAATCAGGGACGCAATTAGTGAAGATGTCAGCCGCGCGAAGGACAAGACTTTCTATCGGCAGTATCCCGGACGCAGGATAATCCTGAGTTAATGAGTCTGAATAATCGAGTGCCTGGGCTAATCGCTCGCGTGTTCTCTAAGGGTGTCCTCGCGATCAAGACAAAGGGCGAAGAGGGAAGCTAACCGTGATGTCGGAAGGTCGCTCGCCGACTGACTAGCACTTCCGCTCTGGCTGTTGTGCGATTCAGAGTGGGGGATGCCTCGTTGGGTTGTTGTGTGTAGGGGTTGGTGGGTTGGTGGGTTGGTGGGTTGGTGGGTTGCTGGGTTCGTTCGTCGGTTGGGCTGCTTGTGCTGCGCGCGGCAAACCCTCCCTGCTCCCACGATACGAAATCGCTTCAGTTTCACGTGGCTCTTGCGGCCCACGTAACTCACTTTTGGCAGTCGGCCGTCTGGCCCCTCCGTCTCGTATCGTGCCAATGGCTCACGCTTCTGCTCCGAAGACGCTAAGGTACGGCAGTCGAATTACAGAGAAAAGCACTGACGATTTCCTCGACACTACAGTTCGATTCAATATTCATTAATTAATCAGTCGGTAACAGCGGGTCTGTATAAACATCAAAGTATTCGTAAATGAAATTGTTCGATAAGGTCGATTTTGCGTCATCTTATCGAGAGAGATATCGACTCTAAGGAAGTGCAAGAGTAAGTATCCAGAATGGAAGAACGATCCAGTTATAAAATATCCGTAAAAGTGTAAGGCTCGATTTCCCGGTTAATTTCTCAAAGTAATTTGAGAACGGCGCACGGAGCTTCGTTCAGGCTAGATGCAATTGGTTCAAGTGTGCAAAAGGCAGTACGCTAGGCGGCCGATTAACTTGTCAATCGAATCAGCCGGGTATTGTCGCGCCTCAACCTCGGCCTACGCCTCCCTCCCCCTTCACCCTGGTTCAGATATTATTTTACGTCTAGATTCTCACACATGCGTGTACCTACGAGCTGCGCAACGCAATGCCTTCCAGGCTCTCAATTATTCCGCGTTAACTGCTCCCAACTATTTACCCAGCAGCCTGGATCAAACGACAACAGCACAAGCACCCTCTGCTAGCCTCTCGCGTACGCCGATGCAAACGTATTCACGTGCGATAATCTCAACATCAGTCAACCCTGATATTCGATAAAACTTGAACAAACCTAATTTACCGATTTCACCGAGCGACGGGGATGCCCGAAAATTTCACTAGCTCCACCAGGACACGTTACACCCGAACAGTATTCCCACTAGACACTTGGATTAATTTCAAATAAATAATATCACATTGATAACTATCATCACTTTTCGTATAGAACTGTCGGTCACGTTTTTCCACGACACGTGGGCTCTACCGGTGCTCTGTTTATAGGCAGAATCAGCGGGCATGGACCCGGGCTGGCGATGTTGGTGATGCGCGTGTCTATTAGCTGCCCTCTACTGAGGGGACGATGCCTAGAGGCAGGGTGGGGCAGGGGGTGGTGTATCGCAGATCAGGGTAGGGGTGCGGGAAGGAGTATGGTGGTGCAGAGAGGCGGGATGTTATATAAAAGGAAGGGTTGAAAAAGAAGCTTAAGGGGGATATTTGGAGAGTAGTTTAGACTCTGCTGGTACGATACCTTGTCTCGGGAGGGATGCTCACTGCTAAAGAGAGAATATATGCTCCAGGGTGGTCGTGCATGTGTCTGGATAAGAAATTCACTCGTGTTTGGCCGTTCCGGATGGTACGAGTAGACGGTTGGACGGTCGGACGGTCGGGCGATTGGGCGATTGGGCGATTGGGTGGTCAAATGCGCAGATGAACGGTCAACGGATAAACGGGTAAACGGATGGTGACCAGCGGCCAGTGGACTAGAGCGCTATGTCCTGCGCGGGAACCGTGGAGACAAGAACCGTGTATCGCAATGTATCGCGGCGACGACGGCGGCGGCTGCGGCAGCGACGGCGGCGTCGCCGACGACCTCAGTGGCGGGGATGGAGGGGCAGCAATGCTTATAGGAGAGGGGAAGAGGGTGGCGAGGAAAGGAACGAGACAGCCAGGGCCGAGAAATGGGGGCGGAGGCTGGAGAAGGCCTGGATCATGAGAGAGCGAGAGAGACAGTCGGGTCGGAACCAAGAGAGAGAGAGAGAGAGAGAGAGAGAGAGAGAGAGAGAGAGAGAATGAAACAGGTGACGAGGAGAGGTAGAGAGTCAAGGGAAGAGTGAGAGAGAAAGAGAGAGACATGAACGCGCAGAGCAGCAGCGCCAGGAACAGCCAGAGAGGGGCCAGCACTTGTATCGGGCTACGTGGGATGGCAGGCCCGTTCGAAGTACGAATTCCCTGGGATTTACTCGAAAAATTCCTCGAATAGTAGAGAAGACGAAAATATTCTCGAAATGACGTACCAAGATTCAATTATTGGCGCTCCTTCTGAAGCATCAAAGGTGTAAGAGAAACCCCTTAGTCCTGGCGTAGCATGACGCGTATAGTAAATCCTTTAACAATATACAGTCTGTCAAAAACTTATACCCAGAGAGACCAGAATGAGAACCACGTATTCATCCGAAGAGAGAAGAGATCTTCGAGAAACAACAAAACAGCTGATTCCCTTCTAACATACAAAATTCAGACCAAACTTAATTTCAAAGTTCTAAAAACTCATTTACGTAATCTATTTTAAAAAAATGAACAATCTGAAAATTCATCTATTCATAGGCACGCGTGCATACATAAAAAATTACTGTACTACAGGATCGTTCCAGCCTGACTGTTTTCTCCGATGAGGTACCCGACACACGCCTGTGATTCTACTTGGCTGAACGGGTGTTAATTAAAAAATTGCTTGCGGCAGGCAGAGTTGCGTTAATTAAATCGACGATCGGCTCTCTCTAGCTAGCTAGAATAATTGCGCTCGTGTGGGGGCGAAAGTGCCACATGCAGATTCCGTATTTTCGTTGTTAATGACTGACGAACGAGACGCTAATGTATTCCACGCGGTACATCTGCCGTACGCTACCCCATTAGCATTTGTAATGCCTACCTCTAGCCCTGACTAGCGTCAACGTAAACGCAAACGCAAACCCATCGAAGCTTACATCCAGTGAACAGAGCGTGTCATTCCTAACCTAATGCATATAATATACAGTGCACGGCTAGAAGAAAAATGATCGTTAACATAAAGGAAGAGAATGGTGTTAGGTTAGGTTGACTTATCTATGCTAATCATGCTGGACTTAAAATAAAATATAAAAAAAAGTAGAAAATATAAAAATATAAAAACGTCAAGTAGGATGTAAAGTAGGAAATTTCACGGAAATTTCCTAAAAGGTCCAACGGCAATAACGGATAAGCGGAACCATCGGGCAGTTCTGACCGTCTCTGCTTCTGATAGGATGGACCAAGAGACAGGGTGTAGGGGTTTCGTATATTTATAATGACCCTATATGTATGCAAATGGCTGCATATCGTACGGACCTACCTCGCTCCTCGCTCCTCGCTCCTCGCTCCACGCTCTGCACTCCGAACTCCTCATTCCATACTTATAGCTACGTGTTAGCACACGTGTATATGCATATGAGACCACGATATACGTATGGCTACCATCACGTGTGTCAGGATCGCAACAGCACTCGATTGTCCAGCGAAAACGCATCTCGATTATGCGTTTAGCAGAGTCAAACGCGATTCGTCGAGTTTCCCACGTAATCCACGTAGTCTCTGAACACTATGGACAGACTAACTTTATTTTCCACGGAGATAAACACATCGTAATAACACTTCACTTTATTTTACATGCACTCACTAGACACTCAGGTATTACGTCGACAGTCACCAACACTGTCACTAGTTTTAATCATTACTCTTTCTCAGCCAAAGTTATCCTCGATCGATTTGCCAATTGATGCGCTGTCTATGGCTGCCGGTGACTGCTGTCCCTCTGGAGGCCACGTTCCGAAGCTTCGGCCAGGAGGAGCGGGAATTTCGTACGCCGCGAGCTATAGATAGAGACCGAAACAGACCGTAGCGAACAGTCTACATAAATTACGATAAACACATTATTTGTAGAGGTGAACATAAATTCCCGATGCTAATTTCGACTGATCAGCAATACTAGCCCTGCCGATACTGCGTTATAGATATTGCGTGGCGTACGGGGTATCAGTGAATATACATGTATATATCAGTAGGGCTAACCCATCTATACATATACTGTAACGTAATTCTTTTCCTTAACTCGACACCGATAGCGAAACATCCGAGAACGAACCATCTTCGAGAACCACCCTACGTTACCTTCGGCCATCCACCCGTCGTTCGTGCATCCGCAAGCCAGGCGGGCGCCAGCCAATTCTTTTTTCACCGGGAACTGACGAGCCGGTATAAACTGGGAATTGGGGCGGAACAGGCCCAACTCCACCAAGAACGAGAGCTCTGACGAAACCTATCGGACGAGGCGATAGCTTAACGGATCCTGTCGATTTTTGGGGCCGCGTAAAATCAGCAAACGCAACTGGAAGCACGAACGGGAGCGGACGGTTACGGAAATTCACAGCCGCTCAGGCTGCTAGGTTAAGGTAGAGAGGGTCGGAGTAAGAGTCCGGCAAATAGTGCGAGAGACAGAGAGCGACGAATCGAGAACGCATCAGAACGAATCTGAACTATCTATCGAGATCCATTCACCAATTAATAAATTGGGAGACTCACCGGAGCTGGTGCAGCTAATCCGTGGGGGCCGAGAACTGCATCCAAAGGACACCCTGGTGGACACTGCACTAAAGCACAGCACTACACCTTCGGAACACTCACAGGAATTCATAGAATTGCTTGGATATCGCGAGAACAACGCGAGAACTGCACGAATCGAGAACTTGCTACACTGCGTCAAAACACGGCAAGAAAAACTATCAACAGACAGCACGGGAGCGCGAGGCAGCCCGTGACACCTCGGTCGGTGCCCCGAGACAGACTGCTTTGACAATAGCCAAATCCGAGAACTAATCATTCTGATCATTCTGATTGGTCGAGAGCCTTATAACCGATAACTCTTCTGTCTCCTTCGAGTCGTCCCTTTAAACCAAATCGAGAGCGTTCCTTAACGAATCGGTACGTAACTTCTGGAGATCCTCCACGGCCACTTCCCCAGGGCATCGGGCGACAGCTGGGCACCACGTCCTCAACTCGGGCAGGAGGTTCCTCTCCTGCCCTTAACCGTAT